GTACTGGAGAGCTCCCTGTCACTGCGCTGGCCAGAGGGAGTTTCCTGTCATCCCCTTAATCAGGGCCCAGTAACTTAAGGAGTGTGACAATCAGCCGGCGCTGCAGATATATAAAAAATATATCTGCGGTGCTCACTGATTGTAACACTCCTGCAGTTACTGTTTGTGAATCACCCCCCTCTGCGGCATTCACAAAGTCCGATAGAAGTGACGTTTCAGACCGATCAGTTGTTCTAGGCAGATATGATCGGTTCTCCTGCACTTGCGCACTATGCCGATCTGCCCTGGAACAGCCGACAAAGCAATGGAATGCTTGACCCAATAGGCGGTCACACATTCCATCGCTGTCAAACTGAGCGGGATTACGTTGTAATGTGTGACCACGTCACCGGTCACACATTCCAACGTAGTCACCAACTTTGATAAAACACCCGTCCCCTCTCCCCTGAGTAGTATCCAGTAGTGTGGGAGGAGCAGGGCACTGTGGCTCTGTCTCTCTCCAAAGCACAGGGATCAGAGCCTATCATGAATGCCTAGACCAGCCTGCCCGCCCATCTGCATCATCAGTTGCTAGGAAGACAGGGGGCTGATTAAAAAAAAGGTCCTGATCTTCTGATCTCTGCTGCCTGTCTGCAAGGGGATCAGAGTCTGTTATTGAGCCTGTGATCCCCGTGCTCTCCCCACTCATCCTCTTGGTTTACTTAATCTCTCCCCCCTGCTGTTACTTGCAGACAGGCAGCAGATCGGGAGATCAGGACTTTTGTCTGCTCTGACTAGCAACTTATGACGTGATGGGCGGGCCGGTGTACGTAATTATGACAGCTCGCCCATCAGCATCATCAGTTGCTAGGAAGAGCAGACAAAGGTCCCCTTTGCCGATCTCTGCTGTCTGTCTTATTATAAGCAAACCAGGAGGGTGAGGGAGAGAAGAGACGGGACACTGACATCCCGCATCTCAAGGTAGGGAGCGAGCAGTGCAGGCTCAAGGGGCAGCTGCTTTGGGCCCCACAACAATGACTGGGCCCAGGGCAACTGCCCCTTTTGCCCTGCGTTAAAGACGGGCCTGCCCTTAATACAGTATGTACCTGCAGGCTGATACCATCTCTCCTGCTCTTCAAGTTCCCCCTCACATGCTACCACCCAACTAGGTCTTATTTTCGGGGTAGGTCTTATAGTACAGGAATCTTGAAAAATAGTGCTAGGTCTTACTTTCAGGATAGGTCTTATTTTCGGGGGAAACAGGGTAGTGTGCTGTCACAATAATTGCATAAAAATATGACACAGTGCATAGCCACAGTTAATATTCATATTAATGTGAAATGAGAATCACATACCCTAGTTTTTGGTCCATAAGACGCACTTTTTTCCGCCCAAAAGGCGGGCAAAAATGTCCGTGCGTCTTATGGAGCGAATATTCCCCCCAGCTGTCACACACACACACGCGTGTTCAGCCGCTCCCGCATGGTGATGTGTGTGTGTGTGAGAGCTGAGGCGGGGGAGCTGACAGTGTACCTAGTGCAAGGCAGCACAGTCTGTGCCCGTCCCGTTCTCTCCGCTGCAGCCTCACAGACTGTCAGAGGTTTCTCCTTACAGTCTGTAATCGGCTGCAGTGATCTGTGTCAGTGGGGACAGGCAGCCGATTAGAGACTGTAAGGAGAAACCTCCGACAGTCTGTGAGCTTCCTCCCCGTCTCGTCTACTCACCCCACCGCGGTGTCCGCGCTCCTCTCCTGTCCGCACGATCGTTCTCCATTCCAGCAGCTGACCACAATAGCCAACCTGTTATTGGCTCTTTTATATTGCAGTAGCCAATATAGCCTGCTTAAATTGCAATAGCCCGCCCACTGCATGCTTTCAATCAACAGAGGTGGACCTGATGGAGAACTTCAGGTCCCTCCTCTGCTGATTGACAGCAGGCAGTGGGCGGGTGCAATAGCCAGCCTGTTATTGGCTACTGCAATTTGAAATATCCAATAGCAGGCTGGCTATTGCTCCCAGCAATAAAGTTAAAAAAAAGTTTAAAAAAATTAAATTAAATAAACTAAAATTAAAAATAAATAAAGTTAAATAAATAAAAAGTAAAAAAATAAAAAAAAATAAAGTTATATTAAAAATACAAAAAAATAGCAAAAAAAGTTAAAAAACATTTAAAAAGTTAAATAAACTAAAACTAAAAATCCCCCCTAAAACTGAAGTAGTGGAGCGAAAAATACGGTAGTTAATTTTCCTTAAAGTGACATTAAACCCTCAGATTTTTTAACATAAAACAATACTGTAATGTGTGCCTTACTGTAACCCATGGTTGTTTCCCTTCTCATTGCTGCTCTTCCTTTTAAATCCTCATGTCTTCTCATGCTGGGGGAGAACTTCACTTTGCAGCTGAGTGCCTCTTCCTGTAGTGCTGGCTCACGTTGTGAACCTTCACACAGACACCATGTATCCATTTCAGAGACAAGGCAGTCTAACAAGGTAAAACTAATATATGGGATAGACTTATTACATGCAAAGCAAGATAGTTCAAATCACCTTTTAAGTTGCATTAGTGAAATAAATGAACTTTTGTACGATATTCTAATTATTCAAGTTTCACCTGTATAGCAGATTAACCTTACCTATCATTGAAATTGGCAAATGTTTCCATGCTATTGTTATGGAAATTCACTTGGTTCAACGCACAAATCTATGCCGCACTAAACTGCGCCAAAGTATGTAAAACACAAAGAATTTCCCCCGTGCTTAAAAGCACAGTTGTATTACGCTCTTTTGTGCCAGGACTGGAAGTACCCCTTTTATAGTCTTTGTAGAGTTAGGAGACAGGTGTTGCTTTCTTGCTAGTTCCATTCTTAGAGAGTCAGCACAGGTATTTGTTTATTTTTATAGCTGTCAGACAGGAAGTGATGTCTCAAACAGCGAGACAGGAAGTGGGGAGAGACAGGAAGTGGGGAGAGACAGGAAATGAACAGGAAACAACCATCACTTCAACATAGCCAGCTAACAAAACACATGTATACAATAATCTATTACCACCGGAGTGAACTTTATCCAGCATTGCTCAGTGATCAATGCCCAATAACATTACTATGATTCTCATGAATGCTTATTTACAGGGACAACATCATATTATCTCCAGCAGTTGATCAGGCGCACTAGAAACAACAAACGCACGTTCCTTTCATATACTGCGTTTATTGCACGGGGGCCCTAGCCGGCGTCCATATATTCGCCAAGAAGACACTGCTCCGCCACGTATAAGATATCTACTCCAATGGTTTACTCTTAGAGGGGATTTAAACCGGGTCACGCTCCAATTGGGCGTGACGCAGCAAACCCTGACACTGAGAGACATAATGACAAAATATTACAATACACTAAAAACACATCCTAATAAAATTTCCACAACACTATTAACCTCCGTTTAACCTGGGCAAGTGCTAGGGTTAGGTTCAGGGAGTAGTAATCGCCAACTTTAGCCGTGATCTTAACTCCCAAATATGTGATCTGTGAGACCCATTTCAGGGGGACTGATCCATCAGCCGAGCCCAGAGTGCCCTCATCCAGTGGCAGGATATGGGACTTGGTCCAGTTAACTCTCAGGCCAGAAAACACTGAGAATTCGTCTAAGATTCGCAGCGCCTCCCTAAGAGAAAGGCCTGCGTCCACCAGAAATCAGATTAAATCATCCGCCTATAGCCCCACCCTAAACCCCTCCAGAGCCATGGATTTGCGTAAAGCCACCGCCAGGTGCTCCATCATTAATGCAAACAGACCCGGTGACAAGGGGCACCCCTGTCGGGTACCCCTCCCCATCGGGAAATTATCAGATAGAGCAGGGCCTATCTTCAGAGAGGCTCTAGGTTCATTATACAAAACAGTGATCCATCTGCAAAAATTAGGACCAAATCCCATATACCGCAGGACAACCCCCATGTAGCCCCAGTCCACTGAATCAAAGCCCTTTTCGATGTCTAAGGAGACCAATGCCCTAGACCCGACATTCGCATGGGAGAGCTAGAGATTTGTGAAGACCCTGCGTAGGTTGGTATCAGTAGATTTCCCTGGAATAAATCCCGTCTGTTCGATATTTACCAGGGAGGTGATAACGTCCGCTAAGCGCTGCGCAAGAATCTTGGTCAGACTTTTTAAATCCATGTTTAGAAGAGCTATCGGGCGGTAGGAGGAGCAAAGCAGTGGATCCTTCCCTGGTTTAGGTATAAGGACAACATTCGCCTCATAAAAAGGAATCCGGTAATCTCACCCGTGTTAGGCAGACACTGTACCATTCTTGTAAACGAGGGGCCATCTGAGGTAAATAATATCTGTACCATTCTGCCGGAAGGCCATCCGGTCCCGAGGCCTTATTAGCAGGAAAGGATCCAACCGTCCTCTCGATCTCCCGAACCGAGATCTCCACCTCCAAGGATTCCCTATTCTGTTGCCCAAGACAGGGAAGCCCCAGTCCCCCCAAGAGGGAGTGAAGGGCCCAGGGCTGGCCTTAGGGGTGTGCGAGCAGTGCGGCCGCACAGGGCGCCATGGCAACAAGGGCGCCGTGCGGCCGACACAGTTCGTCCTGGGGAAGGGCCCCCTCGACATAAGGCGCAACAGGAGCGTACAGCGCACTATAGTACTGTGTAAATTCCTCCATAATTGCCACCGGATCCATCACCCGCTCCCCCAGTGATGTCATTATACACGGGGTATTCGCTAAGGGATGATGATCCGCCACCAACAGTGCTAACCTTTTGCCATTCTTGTCCCCTTGCTCAAATCTCGCCTCTGCTGCCTCGCAAAGAGAACAGCCCATCAGAGTCTTAAGGTGCACCTGTAAAGCTCTTTGCGCTGCTCTAAGAGCTCCCAAGGAATTGTCACTAGGAGAGGCCGCATATATACCAACCCCAGGAACAGGTCATTAGCGAAGGCCATATCAATTCTGGAGGAGGAATTATGCGTATAAGACACACATGAATACCTCCAAACCTCTAGCAGGGAAGCAGCCTCCGCCCACCCCACCAGCTCCATCCCCGGTGCCCTATTTGGGTTTGAGGAATCCAGCGCCTGGTCTAGGATAGTATTAAAATCACCCGCCAGTACTATAGGAATAGGTAAAAAGGGCGTCACCTTGGCCAGAATATCATACAGAAGCTGAAAATGAAAAGCAGGAGGCAAATAAATAGCAATCCTGCGTGTATGTATTTCCAGAACTACAATAACATAGCGGCCCCCC